GAGCACGAGCGTCGCGCCTTGCGCACGCTATCAATGACGAGTGACCTCGTTGAGGATGTGAAGGTGGTCGGTCTCGATAATCTGGCTATGGATCGGATCTAGTTTTCCGTTTCGAAGTTGAACTTGAGCAAGAGATTCTTCATCGTCAAGTCCACCTGCTGTCCGTGATGTTTGACAAGGCCTGCATCCAGAAGGTGGGGATTGCGATGTTATTGAGCAGGACAATCTAAAACAATATAAAAGTCTCAGGACATGTTAAAACGGGCCATTCAATAAACACAAATCGCAAGGCGGGATGAAGTAGTTACGTCAAAATATTGCGAGTGAAAACCTTCATGCTCTTGTTCATTTCAATATCTGTAGTAGGAAAAATTTAATATTCAAAATCGCTGTTATATAATGATGCCGTAGTTGAATACACGCAAAGTTCCATTTGACAAAACTTTTTAAGTCAAGAGATATAGTCAAGCAAGCCTGAGTATTGTCCCTTGTCATTGCAACCCCCCAACACGAATACACAAATCTAAGAGGGTATTGTTCCGATTGATAATGAAAACTTTACTGCTCCTGACGCTCAATGTGTTCTTCCTGTCGCGCTGGCTGCAGCTAAGTGTTGGGGCATTTGCTGTGGAGCACGACGATGATATTGACGAAGTCGAGGAAGATGAAGATGATGTGTTCGACTTCACTACGAGCAAAGTACGTCACATGTCCTTATCAGGGTTAATCATACATTATTTCAACTCCCTGTGTTACAGCTGGATCATGTCAAAAGCAAAGACCTCGTAGAGGTAGAGTGCAATGATCAAGAGTGCGCTATCAGTGCGACAGACCAAATACACTCTGTCTGGGAGCGCGGTCTCGTGACGTTTAAGCCAAAAGTTAAGTCAATTTTAGAGGAGCATGCACGAGCCGCCACGAGAGTTGAAAAACATTCTAAAGGTGAGACACTAGGTTACGTGACGCCGTGGAATAGTCGTGGCTATGACTGGGCCAAAAAATACCGCGCTAAGCTTACGTACGTCTCACCCGTGTGGCTTCAAGTCCGCGAGAATCCCGACCACGTTCCAATCATCACAGGCACGCAGGATATAGATCGCAGGTGGATGTTGGATGTTAAGAATGGAGTAGCTGGACAGGATATGCTTAATGAAGGCCCGGAGATTGTGCCTCGCGTTGTTTACGAGCGTAACCGTCTCGTTTCCGAAGATGTTCCTGTGATTATTGACAAGATTTTGGAGCTAGTAAACAAGCACGAGTTTGACGGAATTGTCTTCGAGATTCCAGTGCAAGAAGGCACAGTGGACATGCTGCAGCAAATCGGTCGTGCTTTCCGGGCGGCAAATAAATTGCTGATACTTGTTTTGTCCAGATGCTCACAAGAAGTTGGTGATGTGTTTGCATAAGTTCGAGTTTGCAATTCTAACTGAACTTCTAGGGTGAATTGCCAGTGACTCACGAGATGTTTAATGAGCTGGCACCACTTGTACATCGATTTTCCATAAACGCATATGACTACAGCATGCCAGGACCAAATGCGCCGTATACGTGGCTTGAAAAGACATTGAAAAATATGTCGCCTATGGAAAGACAGAAAGTCTTGATGGGACTTCCATTTTATGGCTATGATAACACTGGTAGACGATAGTCAGTCGACATGATTTTCTCGTGCTGACAAAATCATTTTTCAATGTAGATGCAATCACGGGAAGTACATACATTCAGTCATTGAGTGAAAACGAGATATCTGAGATTCGATGGGACGCAAAAGCTCATGTATTTAGCCACAATTTTACTTGCTTCACAGCTTGATTACCACGAACATTTGTTGTGTGCTTGTATGTGTTACTTTGAAGGAATGCCATCACTCGTATTCGGCTGCTCAAACTCGAAGTCACCATGTCGTCTTCTACCCTTGTTTGCAATTCCTCCAGGACCGTTTGAAGCTATTTAGAGAGCAACACGTTGGCGTTGCCATCTGGGAGCTTGGACAAGGTACAATGCATCTTTTCAACTTTTAATGGTGATTAAATTGCCTAAGCTTATTGTATGGAAATCGCAGGGCTTGAATATTTTTACGATCTGTTATAGATAACTTTAGAAACAAGCCATGGTTTCCTATTAGTAAGGGATGACCGATTTCCATGTAGAGTGGTAGCTGGCCGGTTATCACATTCAAATGCATCCCATCCATGAACTTGTCGTTCCGACCCTTACGGCGATGTCGCACTAGCAATGTTGTCTTCTCCAACTATCGCTGCCGAACAATTTTAGTCAGATAATACGACATCCGACGCTATGCTCACACCATTGCGACTCACGTCTACAAATTCCTTAAGAACCTTGTGAATGTCCGCAAGAGAATCTACCGCAAAAGAGCACGAATGACGTCCCCCACTATGCTTAACGTCTGAGCCAACAATAACGGCAAAGATCGCCACATTTTCTGCCATGCAAATAGGCACCTTCTGCAAGCGACTAAATGCCACTTTGTCATCGTCATCCAGAGACTCCGCGACTTGCAGCTCGTCATCATCGTCAGTGGAGTAATCTTCATGACCTCGCACTGCTGCAGCTGCTGCCCGTATCAATTGGTCATTTTGACTCTGCGTTCTCACTTCTCCCTTTGACTTTCTTGACGATTCAACATTGTTAGAGACGACATTATTTTCTGGTGATCGAGGCTTTCGAAGTTTCGCCTTTGAAACATGAGCAGCGGACGGCACTGGTTGAGCATCGAATTGCAGAGGAACTGGAGTTTCTAGAGCAATGGAATTTTTTCGAATCCGTTCATTCGCTGCTTGTTCTTCTTTCCATTTTCTCGCATCATGGCACTCATTTGATTCCATCACCAATGCATTCAACGTGTGAAACATTTGATCATCGGTCACGTCATCGCACACACACATGACAAAGTCGATTGCTTGGTCTTTCTTTTTCGCAATCTGGTCCGAAAGAGACAAATGTCGAAGAAGGCCCTCCAAAACTCGTGCCTTCGTGCAACCTTCGTGTTCGACACTGACCGACTTGTGCCCTTGATAAACTTCTAGTGCCGTACCGATAAGTTTCCGTTCTAGAATTATAAGCAAATCCTTTGCTTGCCAGCTTCCAAAGTGTGGATCAGCATCGCCGTAGTGCCATGTCAACGAGCTCTCCTTGTCATCTATATAGCTTCCAGGAGTTCGATCCGTGAACAACAACATCGTAGGAAGCACTAGGTCTTTCCACGACATACCATTACCGGCGACTGATTCATTTTCCCTTTTATCGATGTGTTCCTGTCTAGACGCTTGTTGGCCATACGCCGGAAAGCTACCCATGCTCATGTGCAACATGCTTTGGGTTTGAGACGCTTCCAGACTGTTGCTGACACCGCCAGCTCCCGTTGGGGCTATACCTCCGCCAGACCGAGCTATTGCAACGTCGTACTGAAATTTACTCATTGTCTTCCAGTGCTCTCGTGTGTTACTCAAGTTCATACGATAAAAAAACCCATCCTCTGCAGCAATGCCGACCCGCACACCACTTAACCACGTTTCAAGAAATTTTCGCTCTCTCCCACTAACAACGAAGACCGTATTGCGCTCATCGGCACTAAGCGCATCAAGTTGAGCTCTAAAATTCGGTCCCATAGTAGCGAGGGGTAGGAGAGAATGCTGTGGAGTCAATGTTCGATCATAATCCAAAATGATAACTCGATTCTGAGCGCTTTTGTACGCTTGCACGATGCTTTTGCTGTCAAGTTTTGGCAACTGCTTTGAAGATTTGCGGTTCTTCTCGACTGCTTGGTTAAGTTCGCTCAAAAACTGATCTCCCCATATCGAGGCCGTATTAGACGAGACATAGCGATAAAGTTTCTGCTGACGGATCTCCCGCTCAGTTCGGCACATGCTGAGTGCTTGGTGGATGTTCAAAGCTACATCTTCAATATTCCACGGATTAACAACAATAGCACCACTGAGCGATTGAGAACATCCAGCGAATTCGCTCACGACTAACACGCCAGGCCCACCATCTTCGCCTTCCCAAGTCGTGAGAACTGGCGCTGATGATTGCAGCGGAGAAGTAATCGGCGGTAGCGGTGGTTTGTTCTGTGTTCCTTCATCCGGACTTGATTTTACGGCTAGGTCTTTTGTAATTCCACTTTCAGCACGGCTGCTGACTGCTTTAGCAGCTTTCAGCCGTTCTTCTTTGTTGCGCATAAAATGCTGCTGGCAAACAATAAACTCGTGCGACACGAGGTTCATTCCATCACATGTCGAGGTCACTAAGCAAATGTCAGCTAAATCGTACAGTGCACACAATTCTTCATGTGCCGTCGCTTGTTGCTGAATAAAGTGAATCGGTGCATAGTCAAGAGTGCCATACATACCGTTGATACGTCCAACAATCTGATTTACTTGAGTGACGATATTGCGGTAACTATGTGAGCTCATTTCGAGGTGGTAGCACGGATCACGGCCAACAGATCCCTTACCAGTAGCTATCGGGCTTACTGCAGGCGGTGGAGACTCGGAGGGCCCGCGAGCTGGACTGCCTCTTTCATTCAAAATTCCAGCCTTCACAATTGGAAACGACGAAGATCGAGGAAGAATTGCTGTGTTCTCTCTTGAAGCACTGGTGGCACCAGTGCGTCGAGCTTTATCCCCTGATGCGTTCGCCGTCGAAAATTTATTATCGATAACATCTGAGACAGACGAGATGCCAATTTGAACGAGAACGACATTGTGCTGCCATTCTGGGAACCTCTCCAATAACATTTCCATGGCCAACATTTTGTGTGGAATGCCCTTAATATCGTCAAGTCGGTCGATACCCAAAATGATACGTTTCCCACCAAATTTTTCATGCAGCTCATTCACTCGATTAAGTGTTGACTTACAAGAAGCAGTATGGGCAAAAGGATCGAGATTGATACCGATGGGAAACACGCCTACTGACGTAAAATGATTACGATCGGAGAGTGAGCTTCGGACGCCTTTGTGAGAATACTCAACCCCTAGCAGCCGATGACACGTGGATAAGAAATGACGCTCATAGTCCAACGTCTGGAAACCCACAAGATCGGCTTGTAATACACCCGTCAGTAACTGAGAGCGTACGGGCAACCTACAATACACGTCCGACGCTGGAAACGGCGTGTGCAAGAACCAGCCAATCCGGCACAATGGGATACGCTGGCGCAGTAATGATGGTAGCAGCATCAAGTGGTAGTCGTGGACCCATACGGCATCCCCTTCATTATAAATTTCCGTAATTGCATCTGCAAAGCTCTCATTCGCCGATTCATACGCTTGCCAGTCCTGTTTACTGAATCTCTTAGTCGAATGAAAGCTTGTGCTTTTGCCAGTGTGAAAGTTAAAGGGAAGAGGCTCCGACACGTAATGTAAAAGCGACCAAAGTACTTCTGACGAGAAGCCTGTGTGGCGTGAAGCCACATCAGAGGACAGAAAAACCGGCAGACAATTGTGTTGCAGCAGTAAACGACGCACAGCTTCGTGTTCGCTTTTGGGAATGTGCTGGTCCACACAGCCCACCCATAAGAAGTTCATTTCAGACCGAACACCCGTTAAACACATGAGTTTGTCTAATCCGCCCGTAGTATTCGTGGCATACCAGCGCCCAGTCTGTGGCTGCCGTTCTAGCAACACAGGGAGACTGTTCGACACAACGATAAGCTGATTACTAGTAGTATTGACCGTTTTCTCCGCAGTATCTTCATCGCTGTCCTCTTCCTGTTCGGCTCGAAGCTGCACGAGTTGAATTTGCAGCTCTTGAATATTTGCTAAGATCTGTTGCTCCTCTAGCGACAACGTGTCAAGGCGACTGAGCTCAAAGTCCGTAGAGGCGCGCTGTGATACAAAGAAGTCATTACGAGGCGATAGTGCGCTACTTGTGGGCGGTGACGCGGCCGTTGCGTGGACTGCGGCAAAATCTTCTCCCATTGTAATAAGGTGTGAAACAGCAAAATCGAGAATGAACTTCAATGCCGTTGCTACAGGATCCAAATGTTGGAGATCAAGATTTTATGATAGATTTCGACCAATTATTTAATTGCTATCTAAAAAATACGCGACATTCGAGAATATAAATTTGTTCGCGATCAAGTTTATCTTGAGAGGCAGCTTTAATGCTCCTACAGTTTTAGTGGCCTTCTACCTGTAATATTTATTGTACTCGACTTTCGTACAGAAAAGGGAAAAATCATTTATACTCTGCTTTTATTTCTTCTTCTATATTTAATTATTAGAAACTTTATCTGAGGAAAAGTCGGCTTTGTGCCAAGAGATATTCAGGATCGTAAAAAAATGGCAGTAACAAGACGTTGTCTGAAAGAGAACTATTTATCTAACACCCATCCAACCAATATCTAGCAGAACCCCTGTTAAATGGATTTTTTGTTGCTATTGCTAAGCTCTATAACCTCAGTATTGGCCTCGAGAGATTTTATTTAAAGTTGTCACAAATATCTGTGCTTCTAAATGTACTAACATATGTAAATTGAGCTTATACAAAAGACATGAGCTATTGCATAACTCAATGTTGAAATGACGCCGCTTACTACTGTTGGAGATCGATGTTGCAGCTAATATCTGTATATTGTTCGTACAGAAATGATGTCGAATTAGCCCAATAGTAACAATGTAGTGTCTCCACATTCTCGATCGAGGGTAGTCCCCTCAAAAACCAAAGCTTCAATAAACGGTTTGCGAGCTCGCTGTGATGTTTCTAGTTTGAGCTCTCCTCTCCTCGCCTTCCATAATTCACATACCAAATTGTACACGACTCATTTGGCATTATTACGGTAACGCTGGGACGAAGACTTAGAAACATAATCAACGTTGTCATTCCAGGTCTTACCGATGTATCAACAGCTTAACAGAAGCAACAAAACCTTTCTTTTTCACAACGCCCGTGCCCACGACGGCAAACAAGCCCACCGAATTCTTCCTGAGGATTGGTAGCTATAACTACTGGGAGTATCATCGAACTCTTCCTGGTGAGTAATTGCTATAACCACTTGGAGTGTATTATTAGAACGACTCTGGCAAGGAAGGGTCTTTTAGGCATTTCATATCATGAGTATCGAAAATCAGAATGACATCACGAGGACATGGCTCGTAAACAACGCCGAGGCATTGAAAATCATTACAGGGGCAAACACTGGACGACGCTGAGTACGTGTTCCCAATGGTCTCGCCGCGACGTACAACCTCTGTGGAGAGGCGACAGCGATGTCGTATCTTATCTGCAAGACGCCGGGCGTCGACCCTGACCCAAGATGTGTTTACATGATAGCGCACAGCTGTACCCCGTCGCCAACGGTATGACGGGGGGCAGCAATGTCACGCTCGAGGCTATCCTTGCGATGGATGCTCTACTTGAGCTGGACGAGATGACCTTCGAAGAGTTTGGCAAAGGCGGGCAACTTAGCCGAGGTGGTCATTGTACGACCGAACGAGGATATAAACTCGTCGTCGCTTCTGGATGAAGCTGTTCTGGAGGCCACCAAGAGGGTGCTGAGCGCACGAAGTGAGTCTTCGATCCTGAAGGATCTCTCGGATCCGTACTACCCTTTGGTAAAGGAATTTCAAGACGTCATTTCCAAAGACCCGTCGTCGGTCCTACCTCCAAACCGAGGTAGATCAACCTGGTTCCGGGAACCAAATACTGCGTAACACGCCAATGGTCCCTGTCCAAGGAGCAGTGCGACGTCATGTACGCCTTCTACCGCGCAAAGTCCGACGCAGGAATGGTGCGTGAGAGATGGTCTACCCATCCGACACCCACGTTTTGTGTCTGGAAACCGTACAGGATGTTGCGTATCGTTCACGCTTGCAATAAGCTAGACGCTGTCACCATTCTGACGCAGACACCGAATCCTAAGAAGAATGCTCCCCAGAACGACATGGTTAATCTACAAAATACAGTGCACTCAACCTGGTCGATGGGTATTACCATTTACTCATGAGAGCGAGTGATAATCCGCTAACAGCGGTAAGTATTCCGAGCGGCATGTGCTAGGAGTGGCTGGTAATGCCCCAAGGGCTGTCAAATGCACCAGCAACATTTAATCGTCTTGTGGCGCAGTTGTTCAAGCCCCTCCGGGCATATGCACAGACATACTTCGACGAATCTTCGTCCAGTCGTGCGGAGCACGAAAGGATGGTGGATGAAGAGAACCACATTGTCCATTTAAGAGCGGTGCTCGAGTGCATGCGCACGAATAAGCTGAATGCAAATGCATACAAGTGCTTCGTCAGCGCAGAAGAAATTTTCTTTTAAGGTACCTTATCGGGAAGCGTTTCCCGCTAAGGTCAAGGCCATTGTAGACTGGCTGGCTGCGAAGAACCAAATGGATTTGCGCAAGTGGCTTGTCCTCGCCAGCTACTTGCATAAGTACAGCAAGAAATACGCAGAAATGACACGGCCATTGTGAATCTTCTTTGAAAAGGTGTTGGAACACCGAGCATCGGGAAGCTTTTGACTCAAAGACAGCCTCCTTCATGCACCAACACTAGCGTTGACAAGCCCGATCGTCGTTTTAGTGTCGTCTGTGACGCTTCGGACTTTGCCATCGACTATGCACTGCTGCAAGCAGCCGAGACGCCGAGGGCGAGATCGGTTGATCGCGTTTGGATCTCGCCAGCTCAAGGCTGCGGAGAAGAGCTACCCAGTCCACGATGAGGAATCACTCGCGATGAAGTATGCACTTGTCGAGATCAGGAATTATCTGCTTGGCTCAAAGTTTTTTGTGGTCTACATAGCTCATGCGTCCTTCCGCACTGCGACTCAGTCGCCTAAACCTCTCGCAGAGTATGGCCCGGTGGCTCTCATTTATCGCAGAATATAACCTCAAGGTGAAGTATAAGCCAGGAATCAGAATGCTTTGGCTGATGGGTTGTCACGCGGACCGGACTATGCACTTGCTGATGTCACGACGTGACCTCGGTAGTGACGAATTTGATCCACGCTTCACACGCGGGTGATGGTATATGTGTAGCGCTGCTACGGGCTCTCGGTAGCAAGGCGTTTGGACAAGAAATTGTCGTCGCGATTGCGCGTACGGTAGCCCGATATTTGTTAAATATAACGGTTTCCTTTATCATAGCACCGAATCAACGTATACGCAACGAATTGTGTTTCCTCACGATAAGAATTTGAAGAGCCGTATCTTCTATGAGGCCCAAAACACCCCACTCAGTGGTCATCTCGGTCGTGAAAAGACGTACAGCTCTGTGAGTTGCAACTACTGGTGGCCCAAGCTGTACAAATGGACGAGCACATAAGTGCGCACGTGTAAGACGTGTCAAAGTGTGAAGCCCTCTCCGAATGCAGCAGCACCACTGGTCAGTTTACCGGTACCCTAGGGGTGTTGGCAGTTAATGAGTATGGACTTTGTGTTTGTCCTACCGTATGACTCGGTGGGCAACACGGGTGTGATGGTCTTTGTGAATTGTTTGAGTAAGATGGCTCATCTTGCTGTAGTGCCGGACACCATGTGGGTATAGCGACGCTGTTTGTGAATCGCGTCTTCCGACAAAATGGACTCCTGAAGTCCATTGCCTCTGATAGACATCCGCGCTCCACTGGGAAGTTTTGGTCTACATTCTTTAGGGTGCTGGGCATCAAGTTGAACATGTCAACAGCGGACCATCCGCAAACTGATACTCAGACTGAGCGCGTGAATCGCTTCGTTGAATACGTTCTTCGCAGCGTCTGCGCTATGTTGCCACTCGTAGAGTTCCCTTTGAAAGTACAGTGCATTCATCTACCGGCTACACGCCGTTCTACGTGAACAGCTCGTTCATCATCTACGTTGCCACTCATAGAGTTTCCTCTAAAAATACAGTGCATTCATCTACCGGCTACACGCCGTTCTACATGAACAGCTCGTTCATCATCGCGTCCCACTGACGCCGCCATTATATGGCTCAGGGCTTGGTGGGGGAGAAATTGCCGAACATATAGCTGATCTCAGTCCCCTCACCGTAAGTAAAGAAGTTGGAGACTTCCTTTCTACCAGACCGAGTGTCTTACGACACGTTCGCGATGCGATGGTTGAAATCCAGGAATATGCAAACGGAAGTGGAAGAAGAAACATTGAGGTCGGATACCTGGTTTTTACCAAATGCTAAAATCCTTTCGAAACTTGCAGATTTTGCTGTTTTTAAGACGAAGCTTCGTCCACGGTTTATTAAATCTATCAAGGTCGTGGCCAAGCGAGGCCTTGCGTATACGCCGAACCTTCCAAGAAGAATGCGAACGACCCGGTGTTTTATGTCGGCTTGCTGAAGCCGTACAGGATCCGGCGCTAGTGAACGCGGAGGCGTTGGCGCCGGGGCGGCGACTGAACGACGCCCGGATACCCAAAAGCTAAACCAGCAACTTATTCTGAGCACGGAGTGCAAAAAACTTTCGTTTCTAACGGCGCAAGACACTCCACCGTCGCACAAAGTGCCGTATCAGTCTTCTCAACGGCTAGGAGCCGCTCCGATAGAGCACGATAATCCATAAGTGAGGCAGTCGGTGCACAAAGTGCTCCAAGTTCTCGAGGTCTTCCGTACCGCGGTATGCGAACTCGGCAAGATGCTCGGCAGAGTACCGATGACGACGGACTTTGTCCTCCAACGCTCTAACAGCATCGCGAGTCATCGGACAGCGATCGACCAAGTCGTCATCGTCCGCCGCCAACTCTTCTCGATGAGAATGGTGGCGTCCACTGTCACGTGGAACGCCTTCTGGGTCGACGACGCCGACAGGGTCGAACCCAGTATCTTGTGAAGTGGCGGAGATACCCCGACTCTGAGTGCTCGTGGTAGTTTGATATGCCACTTTGGCAAGACTGCCCAGACTTCGTGGACACTTTTGATCAGAAGGATCATGACACTTGCGTCCCGCCCTTTTTGGAAGGGAACTCGGAGGACAATGAGTTGAGCGCAAT